GCCCCCCCCCCCCCCGGATTTTTCCGTTTTTTCCCCCTGGCCTTCACATCTCTACTCTGGAGCCTTCCTTCCTGAGCCAAGGCAAAAAATGTGTGAGCCGGAGGCTAAAAAACTGTGAGCTGGCTCACACTAACTCAGCTTAGAGGGAACGCTGGTTGGGGCACAGAGTTAGGCGATGGCACACCACCTCTGAACATTTCTTGCCTTGAAAACCCTGCGGGGTTGCCATAAGTCGGCTGCAGCGTGACTTGGATGGGAGTCCGCCAAGGAAGTCCAGGGCCATGACACAGAGGCCGGCAGCTGGCAAAACCACCTCTGACTGACTGTTGCCTTGAAAGCCCTACGGGGTCACCCTAAATTGGCCGCGACTTGATGGCACTTTCGAGCACCAATTAAAAAGTTTGGTTCCGGGTGACCTGCGGTGCAGTCCTGCGCAGATGCCCAATTGCCTCACCTGGTCTTAGCAGGCTATAACTCTTGTTTCGGACGGCACTGTAGGAGTGTTCCAAACAGCAGGCTAGCAACCCCCCCCCTTTTGGCGGCCGTTGGACATATTTGCAAGGCTACGAAGGAGCAAATAGCCTTTTGTCCTGTCCCATTATAATTGCTGAAGCGTCTCATGAGAGTGTGTTTTGTATAAAAAAAAGAAGTGTGCTGCCCCCAGCAGAGGTCAGAATAGTAAAGCATAGCAAGTTGCACTGTATCTTTAAATTTACAAAGGATCCTGGGAGGTATAGTTCTAGTAACCTTAAAGTCAGCTGGTTAGAGGTCGCCTTCCTGATTGGTTCTATAAGGTAAAGGTAAAGGTCTCCCTTGCTCGAAAGCCAGTCGAGTCCGACTCTAGGGTGGCGGTGCTCATCTCCGTTTCAAAGCCGAAGAGCCAGCGCTGTCCGAAGACGTTTCCGTGGTCATGTGGCCGGCATGACTAGACGTCAAGGCGCACGAAACACTGTTTGGTTCTATAGAGCCTCCTTTTTCCTTTGATACATTTGCGGGGGGGGGGTATTGTTTATTACCCTCCTCCTCCCAGTAAGTTTGTAATCTCATCGCTAACAAGACGGGAGAAACTCAGCTCCTTTTTGTGAGAGATCCGGGGTAGGCGTTGGAGCTCCTCAGCTAGCCTCTGTCAGAGTCATAAAGGATGGTTGCCTTGGAACAGCCTCAGAAATCAGACAACAACCTCTAGGGGTTGAGGGCCTGGTTTTTATTGAGGTGAACTTCCCAGATCGTGTTCCAGCACAGCTGATCTTGGTACACCGTTCACCTCAATCCCTTCCTCCCCGGCTGTCAGCAACTTTTCTTTATGAGGTCTCTGAACTTTTGACCTGTGTTGCTCCAAAGCCAATTGTGGGGTTTTTGGTCTTCCCATGGGGTCTCCCTCTCCCTTTTCCCCACCCAACTCTACTTGTTCCTTAAGTGGGCCTCCTTGTCGGGGTCGGGCTCTGCCAATTGCCTGCCTGTTTATCCCGTTCCCCAGTTTTACACCCTGCTCGGTAGCGAGCTCTCCGGGGTTGTTTGTATCCTCCCCTTTCTTGATAGGCAGGCTCTCTCGGAGGCTCCTGGGAGCGTCCGGAGCCTGACACTTTTACCTCATGAATCACTCAAAAGATTCCTAACAGCTATTAAAAAGGGGAATGTGAGTAAAATTGAACCTTTGGATGCTTAAGAGTTGAATAAAAAGTTGATTCTAAACGAGTGGTGATTGCGGGTTGAATACTTAGCTGTTCTTAGGGCCAGCAAATGCTGCCGGGAACAGCTGTCAGACTTGGGCTGTCTCTGTCTCTGTTTCCATTATTTACTACCTGTTGTTCTTTGTCCATTTGGTTCCTCTTTCCCATTGCCCGCTTTGTAACTCTTCCCACAACAAGCCACCTCAAGGCGTGAGATTTCACAGACTCTCTGCCTGGAAGCAGATAAGACTTTGAATTGCCAGTTGGTACCCATATAGCTGCGGTGGCTCAAGTGGTTAAGACGCTGAACTGCAGGCTGTGGAAGGTCGGTGGTTCAGGAGTTCAAGGTGCCGCATGACGGAGTGAGCTCCCGTCTCTAGTTCCAGCTCCTGCCAACCTAGCAGTTTGAAAGCAAGAAATTGCAAGTAGATAAATAGGTACCACTCCGGTGGGAAGGTAACAGCGTTCCGTGCGCCTTGGCGTCTAGTCATGCCGGCCACATGACCACGGAAACATCTTCGGACAGCGCTGGCTCTTCGGCTTTGAAGCGGAGATGAGCACCGCAACCCTAGAGTCGGATTGGACTGGCTTTCGAGCAAGGGAGACCTTTACCTTTACCCATATATCTGTCGGTGGTATTAGTTTCACTTTGTGTGTGTGACGGTAAGAATGGAGCATGGCTTTTGACTATACCTGTTGCTTTGTCCCTTAGTCCTGACAAAGACTCTCACCTTCAATGCGTCTCAGATCTCTTCAATAAAGTTTCTTCAGCTGAACTCGTGTTGAGAGTGAGCTGACCGGGGGGCCTGACAACAGCATAGAAAGCTCTGAACACCAGGGCAAGTGGATGGTGAAGAATTTGTGTGTGTGTTACAAATTTTGGTCTTTCTCTCTCTGCAGATGGTGCCGAAGGGTACCGGTAAGGGGTCTGGCCTGCAGCCCCCTCAACACAGGCACGTGGAAAAACCGGCGAAAAAAGAGAGCAAAGGTGTGTACGGCAGACCACATTCATGTTTAAGAGCTATAGGGTTAGCTCTGGGTCCTTTCTGTTGTTGTTGTTGTTGTTGTTGTTGTTGTTCTGTCGCACAGTCGAGTCCGACTCTTCGTGACCCCATGGACAAGATCTCTCCAGGCCCTCCTGTTTTCCGCCGTCCTTTCTGTACCCATCATAAACAGATAATGTAAGAGCAAGGGGTGTGCGCAAGCTTCATATCTTTGTGTGTCTCAACTTCTCCCCTCACCCTATTCTAAGTGCTCAGGGTGGATTATATAATAATAATAATAATAATAGTAATCCTTCAATTTATTGATCGCTCAATCCTGCAGAGCTTGCTGGCTCTGAGCGATTTACAGTGACTCATTTTTCACGAGGGACTAACAATGATTTGTGGGGTAAGGGAGGACGACATATATATATCTTAAATCACACACATTCGCAGCCGACGAGGGTTCGTTCAGATGGAGATGAGACGTGATCCGGAACGGCATTTCCCCGACCGGGTTTGATGGCGTCAGCTTTCTCCAGACTCCTTCGAGTTGTAGCGCTGCACTGCCACCGCCTGGCCGGAACGGCCCATTACAGGCTGCCGAAGGAGATCTTTCTAGGCTTTCCAATCTTCCGAGCTGGACTTCCCGTTCGCCGGCTAATACCGCTCCACCCCACGAGGGGGGGGGGGTTTCAGTGTGCCCACTCTCTAAGGAGTGGTACCCATTTTATCTACTTGCCGAAGCTTTCGAACCGCTGGGTAGACAGCGAGCTGGGGACAGAGACTGGTAGCTCACACCAGTGCGGGGCTCGAACTGACAGCAGTCCTGTTCAGCTCAGATGTTAAACCAGAGGATAAATCCTCTGTGCCACCGCTCCCCTTTCATATACACATGAAAACACGGAATTGCCATCTACTGAATGCCTTGGTCCACCAAGGTCAGTCTTGTCTACTCAGACTGGTAGCGGCTCTCCAGGGTCTCAGGGAGAGGTCTTCCGCATCCCCTACTGCCTGGTCCTTCGAACTGGAGATGCCGGGGATCGAACCTGGGACTTTCTGCGTGCCAAGCAGAGGCTCTACCTCTGAGTCACGGTCCCTTCCCTGACAGTCTTGAATGCATGAAGCTGCCTTCTACTTGGTCCATAATTTTCAGTATTGTCTACTCAGACTGGCAGCAGCTCTCCAGGGTCTCAGGCAGAGGTCTTTCATATAATCTACCTCCTGGTCCTATTAACTGGAGTGTGTCGTCACCATCATTCCTGCCTCTTCATTTTGCTGAACATAATGCTGTAATTCTAGCAATCCCAAGAACGTAAGAAGAGCCCTGCTGGATCAGACCAGTGGTCCATCTAGTCCAGCATCCCATCTCACACAGTGGCCAGGCAGTCCCTCTGGAGGCCGAGGCCTTCATAAGAACATAAGGAGAGCCCTGCCGGATCAGACTATTGGTCAGTCTAGTCCAGCATCCTGTCTCACACAGTGGCCAACGTGTTTCTCTGAAGGGCAAACAACAGGGCGGAGAGGCTGAGGCCTTCATTAGAACATCAGAAGAGCCCTGCTGGATCAGACCAGTGATCCCTTTAGTTCAGCATCCTGTCTCACACAGTGGCCAGCCAGTTCCTCTGGAGGGCCAACAACAGGGCACAGCGGCCGAGGCCTTCATAAGAACATCAGAAGAGCCCTGCTGGATCAGACCAGTGGTTCATCTAGCTCAGCCTCCTGTCTCATCCAGTGGCCAACCAGTTCCTCTGGAGGGCCAACAACAGGGCAGAGAGACCGAGGCCTTTATTAGAACATAAGCCCTGCCGGATCAGACCAGTGGTCCATCTAGTCCAGCCTCCTCTCTCACACAGTGGCCAGCCAGTTCCTCTGGAGTGCCAACAACAGGGCACAGAGGCTGAGGCCTTCATAAGAACATCAGAAGAGCCCTGCTGGATCAGACCAGTGAGGGTCCATCCAGTCCAGCATCCTGTTTCACACAGGGGCCAACCAGTTCCTCCGGAGGGCCAAGCAACAGGCCAGAAAGGCCGAGACCTTCATAAGAACATCAGAAGAGCCCTGCTGGATCAGACAAGTGGTTCATCTAGTCCAGCATCCTGTCTCATACAGTGGCCAACCAGTTCCTCTGTAGGGCCAACAACAGGGCACAGAGGCCGAGGCCTTCCCCTGACGTTGCCTTCTGATTCTGGGATTCAGTGGCACACGGCTCAATGCTAGAGCATCTGCTTGGCATGCAGAACGTCCCAGGTTCAGTCCCCGGCATCTCCAGTTAAAGGATCTGATAGGAGGTGATGTGAAAAACCTTTGCCTGAGGCCCCGGAGAGCTACTGCCCGTCTGAGTAGGCAATGCTGATCTTGATGGACCGATGATCTGATTCAATGTAAGGCAGCTTCGTGTCTCCACACATTCTGCTGTCGCCTGTCACCCTCGATCAGAGACCTTCCTTTTCATACAGAAGCCTCTCCATTCAAGTGTACCATTCTCTTTAAGCGTAAACGCGCAGCTCACGTTCTACAGCCCATCCGTAAAATACCTGCTGTGACTCGAAAGCCTCTTTTTGACTTAGACTGTGAAATGATTCAACAGCACACCACATCATCATCATCATCATCATAATCTTTTTCCCCCCCAGGGGCTCAGCCTGCGGTCCCCGCACCCACCAGTGGAAGAATTACAAGAGCAACAGCTGCTGCTATGTCCAAGATACCACAAGTCTTGAAACCGGCTGTGACTGCAGGTAAGTTTGGTGTCGTGGTTAAGTGCGCAGGCTCTAATCTGGGAGAACCGGGTTTGATTCCCCCACTCCTCCACTTGCACCTGGCTGGATGACCTTGGGCAAGCCGTAGTTCTGATAAGAGCTGTCCTTGAAAACAGAGCAGTTTCTGTCAGAGCTCTCTCAGCCTCACCTACCTCACAGGGGTGTCTGTTGTAGGGAGGGGAAGGGAAAGGAGTTTGTAAGCCACTCTGAGACTCCCTTGGGTAGTGAAGGGCAGGGTATAAATCCAATCTCTTTCTCCTCCTCCTCCTCCTCCTCCTCCCACCTCTCTTGGGCTGGCTTATGTGTAGAGAAAATTGGCTTGGCCGTGACGCTGCAAATGTCAAAATGTTCTGTAAAGCACCAATTTTAGTCTTTATTTATTAAGTTTTTAATGTAATGTGTGTTTTATTCTCGGCGTTTGCCGCTTGTTTGCCGCCCTGGGCCGTATGGGTAGGGCGGGATATAAATCCCAGAATAAATAAATAAATAAAAATAAAAAATCAGTTCGATGTCTTCCTAGCTCTACCCCCACCCATTCCTTTAAATACTAGACTTCTCTTTTATGGACACTTCCAAGGAATGCGTGTATGCCATTTCTGACTGAATTGCAACCCTTGGAATTCATGACCCCCAAAATGTCCTATCGTTAATAACCTTGCTCAGACTGTGGCTTCCTTGATTGAGTCAATCCATCTCATGTTGGTTTTTTCCTCTTTTCCTGCTGCTTTCCACTTCTCCTAGCATTATTGTCTTTTCCGATGATTCTTGCCTTCTCATAATGTGACTGAAGTACAATAGCTCTGGTGTGGTCCTTTTAGATTCTAGGGGGAGTTCAGGCCTGATTTGATCTCGGACCTACTGATTTGCCTTTCTGTGTCCAAGGAACGTTTGGGTAATATTTTCAGTTGGCCTTTTTTGTTTTATGTTGGCGTGGCACTTTTTTGGGGGAGGAAACGTCCTTTAATGCTGTATCCGATCTGTCGCAGGTAATCAGGCGCAGAAAAGGGTGACCCGCAAAGGAAAGCCGCAGACAGAGATCAAAAATGAGGAGGTACGCCTTTTTCACTGCGTCTTCTGAATAGTTTTAGCAATGCAAATCGACTAGAAACAATCCATCGTCCTTTACAACAGCCCTGTAAGGTAGGGCCAGTGTTCTCTTTGCATATCAGGGCGGCTGAGAGTGGCTTGTCATGAGCTGCTTGCCGAAGCGAGGGCTTCCCGGCTCACGTTCTTGGCGGCTCGACTACTTCAGCTCCCTGCACTGTGCTTCTGTTTCTAGGCATCTCATCATATCGTCAAATATCAAGGAGTTTCCTTCGTCTTTTAAAAACAAAAGTAGGTGGGCTAAAGCCTGTCAAGAGTTCCATTGTGTCCCAGTGTTGGGTGGGAGCTGTGTGCAGAGCCCATGGTTAATGGTAGATGTCCGACTTGCCTCAACTACGGTCAGGGGGCCTTTTTGGCCCTAGCTCCCTTATGAGATCAGGGCCCTGCGGGACCTTTTACAGTTCTGCAGGGCCTGTAAGGGCCTGTAAGACGGGGCTCTTCCACCAGGCCCTTCGTTGAGGTAGTGGGCATCCACCTGACATGGCTTCCAGTTTGGTGTAGTGGTTAAGTGCGCAGACTCTAATCTGGGAGAACCGGGTTTGATTCCCCACTCCTCCACTCGGAGCTGCTGGATGACCTTGGGCAAGCTATGGTTCTGTCAGAGCTGCTCTTGAAAAAGAGCAGTTCTCAGTCAGAGGTCCCTCAGCCCCACCACCTCACAGGGTGCCTGTTGTGGGGAGGGGAAGGGAAAGGAGTTTGTAAGCCTCTCTGAGACTCCCTAGGGTAGTGAAGGGCGGGGTATGAATCCAATCTCTTCTCTCCCCCTCCCCCCCCCCCCAGTGACCGCAGATTCTATATTGCCAGTATTAACATAATCTGTGGAGGCATACTGTATATCCAGTACTATAATGTTCATGTTTTAATTTTAATTCAGCTCCCTGCACTGTGCCGAGGGAGGCCAAGCTAGCTATTACCAGGGCCGGAGCCTTTTCAGTGGCGGTCCCTACCTGGTGGAACGAGCTCCCGGAGGAGATCAGGGCCCTGCGGGACCTTTTGCAGTTCCGCAGGGCCTACAAGATGGGAGATCTTCTGCCAGGCTGTTAATTAGGGGCAGCGGCTACTGCAGGCCGCTATTGCAGGTCGTTACTGCAGAGCTCCGGCCTGTGGTTTTAACATCCTACTGATTATGAGCAGAAACATCGTGGAACATCTGAGCAGTGGAAATTTACTCTGACAATATACCAGCTAGGTTAATTTTTAACTGCCGCCATCCCTTTGTATTTATATTGTTTTTATTCGGGTGGTTAAATATTTGTAATTTTAATGTATTTATGCTTTTATGGAAGCCACCCGGAGCCCACTTTGCTGGGAGGGAGGGGCATAAATTTGATAATAAAATAAATAAATAATTTGTATGTTCCTAATTTTAATTGTAAATCTGCATTGTGTGCAGATCGGTTTCTCGGGAACCCGCCCTGAGCCAGCTATATGGGGAAGGCGGGATATATAAATTTAATAAAATGAATAAATAAATAAAATAGAGCATCTTTTTGGCCAGGGGAAGCCTGTCATCCACCTCTCTGTGGCTCAACAGTACTCCAGGAGCATCAGTCACCCGTGGCTCAGTATCTCCAAAAGCACATTGCAGAGCTGGAGATCGTACAGAGGAGGGAAACCAAGACGATTCGGGATTGGAGCCCCTTCCCTAGTCTGGGACTTTTCAGTTTAGAAAAGAGACTACTAAAGGGGGGGGGGAGGGTGGAGGTTTATAAAATGATGCATAGGGTGGAAAGAGCTGACAAAGATAACTTTTCCTCCCTTTCCCAAAATACTGGAACTCGAGGACATCCCATGAAGCCGATGGGCAGTAGGTTCAGGACAGACAAAAGGAAATACTATTTTACATAGCAAATAATTAAAATGTTGAATTCACTGCTGGAGGATATAGTGATGGCCTCACAGGAATGAACAGCTTTAAAAGGGGACTAGATAGACTCTGCTATTCCGTTCCATGCGCCTTGGTGTTTAGTCATGCCGGCCACATGACCATGGAGACGTCTTCGGACAGCGCTGGCTCTTCGGCTTTGAAACGGAGATGAGCACCGCAACCCTAGAGTTGGATTTGACTGGCTTTCGAGCAAGGGAACCTTTACCTTTTTAGATAGACTCATGGAATAGAGGACTTTTGGGGGCTACTAGCTATGATGACTGAGGGGAACTCCACATTCAGAGGCACTAAGCCCCTGAATCCCGCAAGGCAACCTCAGAGGAGGGCCTCGGCCTCTATACCCTGTTGTTGGCCATCCCGAGGAACTGGTTGACGATTGCATAGGACTATATGGAATATTTGGTCCGATCCAGCTGGGTTCTTCCTATGTTCTTATAGCAGAGCATCTACTTGACATGCAGAAGGACCCAGGTTCAATCCCTGGCGACATCTCCAGTTGAAAGGATTGGTCAGTAGGTGATGTGACAGGCCTCTGCCTGAGACCCTGGAAAAGCCGCTGCCAGTCTGAGCAGGCAATACTTACCTTGATGGACCCAGGGTCTGATTCAGTATAAGGCAGCTTCATGTGTTCAAGACTATCGTGGAAGGGACCGTGTTAGTGGCAGAGCATCTGCTTGGCACGCAGAAGGTCCCAGGTTCAATCCCTGGCGACATCTCCAGTTGAAAGGACCAGGCAGTAGGTGATGCGGAAGACCCCTGCCTGAGACCCTGGAAAAGCCGCTGCCAGTCTGAGCAGGCAATACTTACCTTGATGGACCCAGGGTCTGATTCAGTATAAGGCAGCTTCATGTGTTCAAGACTATCGTGGAAGGGACCGTGTTAGTGGCAGAGCATCTGCTTGGCACGCAGAAGGTCCCAGGCTCAGTCCCCGGCATCTCCAGTTGAAAGGACCAGGCAGTAGTTGATGCGAAGGACCTCTGCCTGTTGGCATGCAGAAGGTCCCAGGTTCAATCCCCGACATCTCCAGTTAAAAGGACCAGGCAGTAGGTGATGCGGAAGACCCCTGCCTGAGACCCTGGGGAGCCACTGGCTGTATTAGTAGGCAATGCTAACCTTGATGGGCCAAGAGTCTGATTTACTTTAAGGCAACTTCATGTGTTCACCTGCTTGCTATATTTCTATTTTACTGCAGGCATTACATGACATGAAAGAGGATGTTCCGATGGAGCCCATAGAAGAGAGGGCTGACCTCCAACTTGCTTCGGCTGAAGGCACTGGGGAGTCTGAGGCCTCTCCGGAGAAGGAAAACGTGCTGCCTGTGTCTTGCGTCCCAGCTCTCCCTCGAAGAAGAGGCCGTTCGTTTGCCCCACAGAACTTTCTCTTTAAGCCTCTGGAGGGCGTGGCCTCCTACAAGATCTCTCCATTGTCCCCCTCCAGGGCCAGCATGTTCCTGTCGCCCAACCTCACTTGGAGCCCTGCCAAGACCACCAGGTAAGAGCACTAACCCACAGCCACCGTTGGGCCTTAAAACATAGCAGTTTAACTAACCTTCGTTGGAAGCCTCCCTGAACAACAGGGCAGAGAGGCCGAGGCCTTCTTAGGGACATCAGAAGAGCCCTGCTGGGTCAGACCAGTGAGGGTCCATCTAGCCCAGCTTCCTGTCTCACAGAGTGGCCAGCCAGTTCCTCTGGAGGGCCAGCCACAGGGCACAGAGGCCGAGGCCTTCTTAGGGACATCAGAAGAGCCCTGCTGGGTCAGACCAGTGAGGGTCCATCTAGCCCAGCTTCCTGTCTCACAGAGTGGCCAGCCAGTTCCTCTGGAGGGCCAGCCACAGGGCACAGAGGCCGAGGCCTTCTTAGGGACATCAGAAGAGCCCTGCTGGGTCAGACCAGTGAGGGTCCATCTAGCCCAGCTTCCTGTCTCACAGAGTGGCCAGCCAGTTCCTCTGGAGGGCCAGCCACAGGGCACAGAGGCCGAGGCCTTCTTAGGGACATCAGAAGAGCCCTGCTGGGTCAGACCAGTGAGGGTCCATCTAGCCCAGCTTCCTGTCTCACAGAGTGGCCAGCCAGTTCCTCTGGAGGGCCAGCCACAGGGCACAGAGGCCGAGGCCTTCTTAGGGACATCAGAAGAGCCCTGCTGGGTCAGACCAGTGAGGGTCCATCTAGCCCAGCTTCCTGTCTCACAGAGTGGCCAGCCAGTTCCTCTGGAGGGCCAGCCACAGGGCACAGAGGCCGAGGCCTTCTTAGGGACATCAGAAGAGCCCTGCTGGGTCAGACCAGTGAGGGTCCATCTAGCCCAGCTTCCTGTCTCACAGAGTGGCCAGCCAGTTCCTCTGGAGGGCCAGCCACAGGGCACAGAGGCCGAGGCCTTCTTAGGGACATCAGAAGAGCCCTGCTGGGTCAGACCAGTGAGGGTCCATCTAGCCCAGCTTCCTGTCTCACAGAGTGGCCAGCCAGTTCCTCTGGAGGGCCAGCCACAGGGCACAGAGGCCGAGGCCTTCTTAGGGACATCAGAAGAGCCCTGCTGGGTCAGACCAGTGAGGGTCCATCTAGCCCAGCTTCCTGTCTCACAGAGTGGCCAGCCAGTTCCTCTGGAGGGCCAGCCACAGGGCACAGAGGCCGAGGCCTTCTTAGGGACATCAGAAGAGCCCTGCTGGGTCAGACCAGTGAGGGTCCATCTAGCCCAGCTTCCTGTCTCACAGAGTGGCCAGCCAGTTCCTCTGGAGGGCCAGCCACAGGGCACAGAGGCCGAGGCCTTCTTAGGGACATCAGAAGAGCCCTGCTGGGTCAGACCAGTGAGGGTCCATCTAGCCCAGCTTCCTGTCTCACAGAGTGGCCAGCCAGTTCCTCTGGAGGGCCAGCCACAGGGCACAGAGGCCGAGGCCTTCTTAGGGACATCAGAAGAGCCCTGCTGGGTCAGACCAGTGAGGGTCCATCTAGCCCAGCTTCCTGTCTCACAGAGTGGCCAGCCAGTTCCTCTGGAGGGCCAGCCACAGGACACAGAGGCCGAGGCCTTCTTAGAGACATCAGAAGAGCCCTGCTGGATCAGACCAGTGGTCCATCTAGTCCAGCATCCTGCCTCACACAGTGGCCAACCATTTCCTCTGGAGGGCCAGCCTCAGGACACAGAGGCCTTCTTAGGGACATAAGAAGAGCCCAACTGGGTCCGACCAGTGAGGGTCCATCCAGACCATCATCCCATCTCACCCAGTGGCCAACCAGTTCCTCTGGAGGGCCAACCAAAGGGCAGAGAGGCCATGGCCTTCATTAGAACATCAGAAGAGCCCTGCCGGATCAGACCAGGGGTCCATCTAGCCCAGCATCCCGTCTCACACAGTAGCCAACCAGTTCCTCTGGAAGGTCAGCAATAGGGCAGAGCGGCCAAGGCCTTCATAAGAACGTCAGAAGAGCCCTGCTGGATCAGACCAGTGAGGGTCCATCTAGTCCAGCCTCCTGCCTCACACAGTGGCCAAGCAGTTCCTCTGGAGGGCCAGCCACAGGGCAGAGAGGCCATGGCCTTAGAACATCAGAAGAGCCTTGCCGGACCAGACCAGGGGTCCCTCTATTCCAGCCTCCTGTTTCACCCAGTGGCCAACCATTTCCTCTGGAGGGCCAGCAACAGGGCAGAGAGGCCGAGGCCTTCATGAGAACATCAGAAGAGCCCTGCCAGATCAGACCAGGGGTCCATCTAGTCCAGCCTCCTGCCTCACACAGTGGCCAAGCAGTTCCTCTGGAGGGCCAATCACAGGGCAGAGAGGCCGAGGCCTTCATACGAACCTACGGGTGTGCTTATTGGCTGCCTCTGCTGAGCAGCCCCGGGTTCCCTTGGAGGGCTGACTCTGCTCCACTCCTGAGACCTGATGAGATCAGGCTGGGCCAGGCCATCCAGGTCTGGGCTGCGGCCATATCAGCAGGATGGGTTTTGTCCAGTTGGGAAGTCCTGTTCTCTCTTCCCTCCCTCGAGTATGGTGTCCATTCCTGGACTTTGTAGACCCATAGCCCCACACTTGTCTTTGGCCCAAGGCGTGGGCCATTCTGCGCATCTCTGGGTGGAGATCTACCCCCCGGATGTAGTAGGAAGAGCTTCTTGGTTGTTGATCCACTCGAAATGCCACCGGAAGGGGTAATGGAGGTTCAAGGCCATCCATTCTCTTCCGCCGGCAGCCGTCTGTGGAAGGCTGGTCTCACCCCGATGACCACTTGGCCGATATAACTTCAGCCAGGGGTTGCCCCCGCCTTTCCGAGCCCGGGGGCACTTCTGGAATTTCCCGGCACGAGGTGATGGGGGCAACTGCAATGTGGCCGTCGACGGAAGGGGAGCCACCTACACAGAGAGGAAACCCAAGTGCAAGGGACAAGAGGAGTCATTTTAAACGGTGCTCGTGGGAAGAGGAGAGGGAGAAAAGAGAACCAACAGCTGTCAGCTACACTACCATGGTAGCAGGAGGGGTCAGATGGACCTGTGTACAAAGTACTGCTGCATTCCTTCTGTGCTTCTTCTCTGCTGTAACGCTTGCTTATCTACAGCTGTGCAGGTGGTGTGGTGTCTAGGAGTGAGGGAACCGTGGGAGCGCTGTCGGTTCCCAGCTTTGGCTCAAACGGCGTGGGGATGTGGCTAATTGGCCCAAGGAAGGGTGTGTGTGTGTGCATACGAATACCCTATATCCCATTATGCTTGTAGGGGCGACACCATTCTTAACAGTGACTTTGTTAATGCATCTATAGCTCTTCAATAAAGTATAACCTTTCTGGTAAGCGTGTACTCCGTTGTTGGCTGTGGGACCTGACAACAGCATGGTGGCAATGGCCGCCAAGCCTATCAAGATGGGTGGCCGCGTTTGTCTGTAGCAGTAGAAAAGAGCAAGAGTCCAGCAAGCGCCTCAAGACGAACAAAATTCGTGGCAGGGGAGGAGCTTTCGCGAGTCACAGCTCCCTTCTTCAGATACCAAACCTGTGTTATTTTAATCTGTACTACCAGTCAGATCTCCAGTGGCCAATCAGAAACTCTACCGGACAGGAGCCCCACCCACTGACCCGTAGCTACGGTGGAGCCCGGAGCTCCGCCCCCTTCCTTAAAGGGCCACCTCCTTCCTGAAGGGGCCACTGCTTCTGGAAAACCCCCTGCTTTTTCCCAAAAGCATTTAACGGCATCCTTTAAATGCTTTTGAGAAGGGGGGTGGGGGTGGCGCACAGTGTTCCCTCTAAGCTGAGTTAGTGTGAGCTAACTCATAGTTCTTTATCCTCTAGCTCACACATTTTTGTCTTAGCTCAGAAAAGATGGCTCCAGCGTGAACTAATTTATGCAGTAGCCAAATCGCCTCGCTCACAACTTTAATGCCAGTAGCTTACAAAGTAGAATTTTTGCTCACAGGACTCCACAGCTTAGAGGGAACACTGGTGGCACCGTACTCCTCTCCCTCCCCTCCTGCGAGATTTAAAGGGCCCTCCAGTTGATTTGCGGGCCACGTGCTCCCTGCTGATCAGCTGAAGGGCCCTTTAAATGTTGCAGGAGGAGGAGGGTACACACCCCCTTCTAGCAGCCCCACCAGAAATTTTTTTGTCCCACGAGCCACAGACTCCTGGCTACGGCTCCTGTCTGTCCAGATTCTAAAGACGCTCCGTGGGCTCCAGGAAGAGGGTCCCGGGATGCCACGTTCGGGAGTGCTGACTTAAGCTACCAAAACGCGGTAATGTCGCACCTCTGGAGGGCTCAATTGCCCACCAGATGATGATTGTCCTTCCTAGGAAAGTCCCGAAGGAAGACGCCAAGGAGCCCACACCAGAGGACCGTCGTTCAGAAAGCGAACCTTCCACAGTGCCGGACGTGACCGAGGACATTCCGGAATGCCAGTCTGCCCTGGAGCCCCAGGAGGAGGAGGAGATGGGTATGTGGCAGGGAGCTGATGTCTCATGGCGGCTGGCTGGGCAATCCAGATCAGAGTCACAGACGGCGGTTTTAATTCTTGGGCTAGGGTTTGATTCTGTTCGGAGCTGCGCTGTAAAAGGCTAAGCTGTGACCTGCTGTTCTCTTGCATCTCCGTCTGCAATATGGGCCTTCCTCGAAGGCTGTGGTAAACGGCAGTGGGAAAATAACGCTGCAGAAGTGTACGAACCATTCCTTTCAGATCCGTGAACTTCAGTTATGGTTTGTCTGTTCCCTTCTGTAAAATGAAGACTGAAATTGCTACTTGCCTGAATATTTGAGAGCCAGTTTGGTGCGGTGGTTAAGTGCGCGGACTCTAATCTGGGAGAACCGGGTTTGATTCCCAACTCCTCCACTCGCACCTGGCTGGATGACCTTGGGCAAGCCGTAGTTCTGTCAGAGCTGTCCTTGAAAAAGAGCAGTTCCTGTCAAGAGCTCTCTCAGCCCCCACCGACCTCACAGGGTGTTTGTTGTGGGGAGGGGACGGGAAAGGAGTTTGTAAGCCGCTCTGAGACACCTTCGGATAGTGAAGGGCGGGGTATAAATCCAATCTCTTCTTCTTCTTCTTTGCATTATGGGTTTAAATTTTCAGGAAATGGTTTAAATTTTGGAGCAGGTTTTATTGAGAGGGTGCCGGTTTTTGCTTTTATTCCTACCTTTTATTTCAATATCCTCCCCCCCCACACACACACACACAAACACACACACACTTCGTATTTAGTGGGACACAGGCCTGAAGAAATGGGTTTTTTGTTTGTTTTTTTGGAATGGGAGTGGATGAGTTTATTTCTTTTAAATAAGGAGGGAAGATACCAGCCAGTTTGGTCCAGTGGTTAGAAACAAAACCAAGTGTCGGTAATGATCCCGAACCTGTGCCTGATTGGCCAAGCCCGCTCTTCTGCTCTCATGGAATTGAGTGTCCAGGCCGCCTAGAGTCCAGTAACATCTAAATTTAGCACCAACTCAGCCTCCCATTCAACTCCCTTGTCTGAACAGGACACAGTCTGTTCTTGTGAACTTAGCGTCATTTCAAAGCATTGATTTTCTTTTTGTTTTCTTTTGCCTACAGTCCAATCTCTTCTTCTCTTCTTCTTCCCCTGAGCTTCGTGGCACTTAGAGTGGTTCCTCAGTGGAACAGGCTTCCTCGGGAGGCGGGAGGCTCTCCTTGTTTGGCGGTTTTGCAGCAGAGGCTAGATGGCCATGGTCCTGGGGTTCAAGGGAAGGTTGTATAGTCGTTCCCTGTTTTCACATTGAATTGGAGTAATTGGCAAATACATTTCTTCTCTCCCCCCCCCCACCCCCATATTCCAAAATGAACATGAGTCAGCAATGTGATGCGGTAGCTAAAAGGGCAAATGCGATTTTGGCCTGTATCAACAGAAGCGTAGCGTCCAGATCACGCGAAGTGATGGTACCGCTTTATTCTGCTCTGGTTAGACCTCACCTAGAGTATTGTGTTCAGTTTGGGGCGCCACAATTTAAGAAGGAAATAGACACGCTGGAATGTGTCCGGAGGAGGGCAATGGAGATGGTGAGGGGTCTGGAGACAGAGTCCTGTGGGGAAAGGTTGAAGGAGCTGGGTACGTTTAGCCGGGAGAGGAGACGACTGATTCAGCATCTTAACGACTGAGCCACCGCAGCCAGGATCCAAGAGACCAAGGTTCAAATCCCCACTCTACCACGGACCCTTGCTGAGTGGCTCTTTCAGTGAAACTTACCTCATAGGGTTGTGGTCAATGCTCCCTCTAAGCTGTGGAGTCTTGTGAGCAAGAATTCTACTTTGCGAGCTACCGGCATTACAGTTGTGAGCGAGTGATTTGGCTGCTGCATGAATTAGTTGGCTCTGGAGCCATCCTTCCTGAGCGAGTGACCAGGGCTCTTTTTGTAGAAAAAGCCCAGCAGGAACGCATTAGCATAATAGGCCACACCCAACAGCAGAAACTCATTAGCATATTAGGCCACACCCCTGACAGCACAGCTCATTAGCACATTAGGCCGCACCCCCATGTTACCAGAAGTGTGGTCATCCAGCCACACCCACCTTTTGCTTCTTATTCTGTTTACCTTGTGTGTTGTCAAAACCCAGGGCCTTTTTTGTAGCAGGGACTGCTTTGCATGTTAGGCCACACACCCCTAATGTAGCCAATCCTAATGAGTTCCTGCTGTTGGGTGTGGCCTATTATGCTAATGAGTTCCTGCTGGGCGTGGCCAATTTGGGAGCCAGCCGGAACTCCGTTCCTGTGCGTTCCTGCCCAAAAATATTGTGGCAAATGTGGGAGCCAGCCGGAACTCCGTTCATGTGCGTTCCTGCCCAAAAATAGCCCTGGCGAAGACAAACAATGTGTGAAGCCAGAGGCTAAAAAACTGTGAGCTAGCTCACACTAACTTAGCTTAGAGGGAACACTGGTTGTGGTGATGCTAAAACTGAGGACTGGAGAACACTGCAGGGCTGTAGAGTACAGGTAGCGATTAGAGACTGCAGAGATTAGATAGGCAGCCTAGAGAGGCGCCCAGAAATGACATCAGATCGCCCCCAAATTCAGCTGTGCATAAGCACCACCACCCCAAACATCCTGCCATTTGCCAAGGCAGTGTTGGGAAGCCCGTGCTCCAGAAATCCACATCCGCTGTGGATCAGCAGAGCACTTTGGGTTTTGAGCTGCCACTTAAATCGTTGTCCGTAAATGATGATGCAAGCGTCAGCGGCACAGAGAAGGTTGCGAGAACTGTCGGGGACTGTGGCAAGTCTTCCCACACGTGGCTCTGCAAGCATGGATCTCGCCACCTCGTGGCAGGCCTGGAGAGTTGTGTGGCCATCTCAGAGCGACTGTGTTGAGATGATGGTAACAGTATTAAAGCAAGTCCAAAAAAATGATCCAACCCCCTCCCCCCGGAAACCTGTGTGCGCACTGCGCTTACAAAAATAGTTTAAGTAATTAAAGTGACAGTGTAATCATCCAGAGTGCGAAAAGACACACAATTAACATTTCACAAGGTAAGCACAAAAATAAGTAAATTGATGAGATGTTAACGATGATCTCCGGAATGTTCAACCGTTTCGATAGTAATCTTCTTCCGAACAAAGACGAAGAGTATGCAACGCCTCTAGTCAAATGTCTCAACTGGTACATATCAATAAGTCTCACTGAAGTGTCATGACATCATGGTATAAGATTCCAAATGATTTGTAGAAGGGCAAAAAGGCTGTAAAGTTGCTGTACAGCATTTTACAGCACTTTTTGCTTTACAGCACTTTACAGCACTTTACATTCTACATTTACATTACTAGATTCTTAGAAGGGTAAAAATGCTGTAAAGTTGCTTTACAGCACTTTTTGCTTTACAGCGTTTTACAGCACTTTTTGCTTTACAGCATTTTACAGCACTTTACATTCTACATTTACATTACTAGATTCTTAGAAGGGTAAAAATGCTGTAAAGCAACTTTTACAGCACTTTTCGCTTTACAGCATTTGACAGCACTTTTTGCTTTACAGAGCTTTACAGCCTTTTTGCCCTTCTAAGAATCATTTGGAATCTTATACCATGATGTCATGACACTTCAGTGAGACTTATTGATATGTACCAGTTGAGACATTTGACTAGAGGCGTTGCATACTCTTCGTCTTTGTTTGCTATCGGTTGAACATTCCGGAGATCATCGTTAACATCTCATCAATGTACTTATTTTTGTACTTACCTTGTGAAATGTTAATCGTGTGTATTTTCGCACTCTGGATGATTACACTGTCACTTTAATTACTTAAACTATTTTTGTAAGCGCAGTGCGCACACAGGTTTCCAGGGTTTTTTGGATCATTTTTTGGACATCTCAGAGAGACTCCAGCCTCCTCAGTTAGCACAGAGATTTTGGAAAATGTTTGAGATCGGTTAAAGAACTGGTCTCTGGTACTCACGAGTCTCGCAGGGGAGTCTTCTGGAATTTATTGTGTAGTAAAATTTAGGGAGTCGCTGATCTATCCAGTCCACTAGTCAAGATTGGCCTCTCATGCCCTGCCTGCTGTGCCCCTGCTTTCAGACATGAGACAGGGGGCGACTGGAGACAGGGCACTGTCTGGGGTGGCTCCTCACCTTTGGAATGCGCTCTCCCCCTACAGGTTCGCCGGGCTCCAACTTTACTTTCTTTTAGGCACCTGGCTAAAACACATCATTTTACCCGGGCTTTTATTTAGGGGTTTTGATCTTACCAGCTTTTTAACAGCCGCCTTCTATTCTGTGGATAGTTTTCATGCTGCTTGCATCCAACGGCTCGTGTTCTAACGGCATGCATTCTAATGGCTTGTGTTTCTGTGCAACGGTTTTTAGTTGCAAGCTGTCTTGAGCAGGACCCCAAGGGTCATCTAGTCCAACCATCGGCACAACGCAGGAAATTCTCAGCTACACGCCCCCCCAATTCCCCCAGTGACCCCTGCTCCATGCCCAGAGAAAGGCAAAAAAACCTCTCCAGGATCCCTGGGGTCAATCTGGCCTGGAGGGAAACCCCTTCCTGCCCTCCTTCTCACCATCTGTCTAAATTCACAGTGAGCCATTGGGTGTGGTCGCACGGCAAGCTTACCGCGATCTGTTCCTGCTGTAGATTTGATCGGGGATATTTTTTAGCGGGTTCGGACAATCACACATCCCTTGCCCAACCGCTTGTATCACGCGACGAGGCTCCAGGCACCGTCCAGACAGCCGCGCCGCCCAAGTGGCGGCACGACGCAATTTTTCTTTCAAAATTTCTTCGCACGTGCGCATGTACATGTGCAACTCATGGCTCTGGCTTGGATGAGTGCAAGGTGATGCACATTGGAGCCAAAAATCCTAAATATAAATACACGTTGATGGGGTCTGAACTGGCAGAGACTGATCAAGAGAGAGATCTTGGAGTTGTAGTAGATAACTCACTGAAAATGTCGAGACAGTGTGTGACTGCAATAAAGAAGGCCAATGCTATGCTGGGGATTATTAGGAAGGGTATTGTAAACAGATCAGCCAATATCATAATGCCGCTATATAAATCAATGGTGCGACCTCATCTGGAATACTGTGTGCAATTCTGGTCACCACACCTTAAAAAGGATATTATAGCTTTGGAAAAAGTGCAGAAAAGGGCAACTCGAATGATAAAAGGGTTGGAACACTTTCCCTATGAGGAACGGTTAAGGCGCTTAGGGCTCTTTAGCTTGGAGAAACGACGACTGAGGGGTGACATGATTGAGGTTTATAAGATTATGCATGGGAAAGAGCAGGTAGAGAAAGAGGTACTTTTCTCCCTTTCTCACAATACAAGAACTCGTGGGCACTCCATGAAATTGCTGAGCGGTCGGGTTAGAACGGATAAGAGGAAGTACTTCTTCACCCAAAGAGTGATTAACACATGGAATTCACTGCCACAGGAAGTGGTGGCGGCTACAAGCATGGACGGCTTCAAAAGGGAATTAGATAAGCATATGGAGCAGAGGTCCATCAGTGGCTATTAGCCACAAGGTATAGATAGGGGCTCTGGGGCAAGTGATGCTCTGTCATCTTGGTGCTTGGGTGGGGGGGTCAACAGTGGGAGGGCTTCTAATGTCCTGGCCCCACTGGTGGACCTCCTGATGGCACTGGTATTTCTGGCCACTGTGTGACACAGAGTGTTGGACTGGATGGGCCTTTGGCCTGATCCAACATTGGCATCTCTTATGTTCTTATGTTCTTATGTAGGGTATTTGTGAATTTCCTGCGCTGTGCAGGGGGTTGGACTAGATGACCCTAGAGGTCTTTCCCAACTCTATGATTTTATGATTCCTGACAGTGAGAGGGGTTCCTCAGTGGAACAGGCTTCCTCGGTAGGTGGTGGGCTCTCCTCCTTGGGAGGTTTACCAACAGAGGCTAGACGGCCATCTGAAAGCAATGAGGATTCTGTGAACTTAGATCAGGTTAGAATGGATAAAAGGAAGTCCTTCTTCACCCAAAGAGTGATTAACACTTGGAATTCACTGCCACAGGAGGTGGTGGCGGCTACAAGCATGGACGGCTTCAAAAGGGAATTAGATAAGCATCTGGAGCAGAGGTCCATCAGTGGCTATTAGCCACAAGGTATAGATAGGGGCTCTGGGGCAAGTGATGCTCTGTCTTCTTGGTGCTTGAGGGGGGGGGTCAACAGTGGGAGGGCTTCTATTGCCCTGGCCCCATTGGTGGACCTCCTGATGGCACCTGGTATTTGTGGTCGCCGTGAGTGTTGGACTGGATGGGCCTTTGGCCTGATCCAACATTGGCGTCTCTTATGTTCTCTTATGTTCCTATGAACTGAGGCAGATTATGAGAGGGAGGGCAGGAAGGGTTGCCTCAGAGCTTAGTTCTCATGGCCCTTTCTTACACGCCCAGGGAAATGCTCATTGCCCCTTCGGAGTCAGGAAGCCATTTTTCTCCAGGCCAGTTTGGCCAGAGATCCTGGAGGTTTTTTGTCATCTTCTGGGCGTGGAGCAGGGGTCCCTGGGGGTGTGTGGGGGGGAGGTATTTGTGGATTTCCTGCGTTGTGCAGGGCGTTGGACGAGTTGAGCCTGGAGGTCCCTTCCAACTCCATGATTCTGTGTTTCTGTCAGTGGGATGACACTCGGAATTTTGGCCGTAGCGCCACGGCAAATAATCGTTGTTTGAGCAGCAATAACACTAAAGGTGGCTTTTTAATCTAACAACGAGTCACGGCTTAGAATCGTTCAACTTCCGTCCTAAAAAAAGAACAGCTATACGGGGGCTTTTATAGGATACAAATTTCAATTGGGACCCAGAAGGCAGATCAGAAACCAGCTAGAAACGCTTTGTAATGGGCGGGAGGCCTTCAGATGATGCTGTCTTGCCGCTGGGCCTTCCTCCTGTGGTGCCTGTAAGAGTTCCTGCGGCCTTCTCTGATGGAATCCCCTCTTCTTTAGAACCTGCGCCTAATGAAACGACAATGGCCATTACCGGCGCAACGGAGGCCACCCAGCGGCCCGCCGACCTTTCGGCACCTGAAACGTCGGACACGACAGGAGCACCGCAGCACGACGTGCGTTATTTCAGGTTAGCACAAAAGGACAAATAAGGTCTAAAAGGCTCCCCCGCAGAGTGGCTAAAAGAGCGCCGGACAACTGGACGCTCCGTTGAAAGGTGTGCCTCAGCTGTGGGAAAGACCGGCCTCCCCACTTAAACCACTCTGCAGAGTGACAAGCTCACCCCGTTCAAAAGAATCCTCTTTCCGCTCCCGCCTTTCCCCCCTCCCTGTGCCGCAGCGCCGCAGACGAGCCACGAAAGGCCCCTTTATCAGACACGAGGCGGCACACTCTCCCTCCCGCCGAGTCCGAGCCATTAGCACATCACACGGATCCTTCTTTTTCGCCTGAGGATTTGAGCGATAGAGTCAGGAAACCCCTCGGCAAACGTCTTGCGGCTTTGCTCAAAGTGCATTTGTAGAGCAGCAAGATGCCTCCCTGGTGGTGTGGAAAGGGCCGTCCAGTCACTGCCGACTTTCAGCGACCCTGTAGGGCAGGGGTGTCGAACTCATTTGTTACGAGGGCCGGATCTGACATAATTGAGACCTTGTTGGGCCGGGCCACGTGTGTCATAAAAGGCAGTGCCAGGTAGCGGAGATCAATGTTCCCTCTAAGCTGTGGAGTCTTGTGAGCAAAAATTCTACTTTGTGAGCTACTGGCATGAAAGTGGTGAGCAGGCGATTTGGCTGCTGCATAAATGAGTTTGCTCTGGAGCCACCCTTCCTGAGTTGAGAGAAAAATGTGTGAGCCAGAGGCTAAAAAACTGTGAGCCGGCTCATACTCACTCAGCTTAGTGGGAACACTGGCGGAGATATGAACTTGATAAAGGACACAAACACACAAAGGCGGGGTTTTTTAATTAAAATCAAGCCACGCTTAAAACAGTAGCACTCTGACAAAATTTTGTTTATTTTGTTTATCTCCCTCTTCTTCTTTTTGAGTCTGCCGGTGCCTTTAAATTTTTGAGAGGGAGTGGTGCGTGTGAGATTTTTGAGCGGGAGTGGCGTCTGCTGTGGAGGTGGAGCTACCTATAGCTTGGTTGGATGCAGGGAGGAGGAGGAGCCCCGTTCCCTGATCTTTGCAGCCACTACAGGGTTCCCCAACATGGGGCCCACGTCACTGTGGTGCTCACCACTGCGGGTGCCGAGTGGCCCCGTCCGCTTTCTGAAAAGTTCAGCGGGCGCCAAGGGAAGTCGTGGCAGGTGCCGTGGCAGCCCCAGGCCCCACGCTGGGAAACCCCGTCCTTCCCCTTTGTAGTGAGCAGGTGCTGGAGAGGCAGCAGGCCTGAAGCATTGAGTGTCTTGGTCTGTCCACCACTCATGCTCAGCTCTCTCCAGCTCATACTGACTTCCTCTGAAGTGGGGGACAGCCGGGCTGATTGTACTGGAAGGGTCTTGTTCGGCGACTGAGGGAAATCTGGGTTCAGACCCTTCAGAGCCAGTTTGGCATAGTGGTTAGGAGCGTGGATTCTAATCTGGGAGAACCGGGTTTGACTCCCCGCTCCTCCACATACAGTTGCTGGTGTGACTTTGGGTCAGTCACAAGTTCTCTCAGAGCTGTCCTCTCAAGGGGATTCCCGGAAAGAGCTCTCTCAGCCCCAACTGCCTCACAGGGAGTCTGTTGTGGGGAGGGGAAGGGAAGGAGATGGTAAGCCGCTCTGGGACTCCTTCCGGTAGTGAAGGGCAGGGTATAAATCCAGTCTCCTCCTCCTCCTCCTCCTCCTCCTCTTCTTCTTCCACATGCAGCTGCTGGTGTGACCTTGGGTCAATCACAAGTTCTCTCAGAGCTGTCCTCTCAAGGGCAGTCCTCGAAAGAGCTGTCTCCGCCCCATCTGCCTCACAGGGTGTCTGTTGTGGGGAGGGGAAGGGAAAGGATATTGTCAGCTGCTCTGGGACTCCTTCCGGTAGTGAAGGGCAGGGTATAAATCCAGTCTCCTCCTCCTCCTCTTCTTCTTCTTCCACATGCAGCTGCTGGTGTGACCTTGGGTCAGTCACAAGTTCTCTCAGAGCTGTCCTCTCATGAGCAGTCCTCAAAAGAGCTCTCTCAGCCCCACCTACCTCACACAGGGTGTCTGTTGTGGGGAGGGGAAGGGAAAGGACATTGTAAGCCGCTCTGAGACTCCTTTGGGTAGTGAAGGGCGGGGTATAAATCCAATCTCCTCTTCTTCTCTTCCCGAGCCACAAAGCTCACTGGGAGATGTTTGAGCGAGTCACACTCTCTCTGCCTAGTGTACTTTTGAGGGAACAGTGTGGGGGAACGGTGCTTATCAATACAAGAACTCGTGGGCACTCCATGAAATGGCTGAGCAGTCAGGTTAGAAGAGATAAAAGGCAGTACTTCTTCACCCAAAGAGTGATTAACACATGGAATTCACTGCCACAGGAGGTGGTGGCAGCTACAAGCATGGACGGCTTCAAGGGGGAATTAGATAAGCGTATGGAGCAGAGGTCCATCAGTGGCTCTGAGCCACAAGGTATAGATAGGGGCTCTGGGGCAAGTGATGCTCTGTCTTCTTGGTGCTTGGGGGGGCCAACAGTGGGAGGGCTTCTAGTGTCCTGGCCCCACTGCCGGACTTCCTGATGGCACCTGGTGTTTTTGGCCACTGTGTGACACAGAGTGTTGGACTAGATGGGCCATTGACCTGATCCAACATTGGCTTCTCTTATGTTCTTATGTTCTTAACTGCTGAGGGATCATAAGAGAGTTGTACGTGTTCTCTCTCTTTCTTTTAAAGAAACGTGCTTCGCTCTGAAACAGAGAGGCTCTCCTTGTGTTGTCTTGAATGGGACGGGACAGCCGAGACGGACATCCCAGATGATGGTAAGAGATGACGGGATTAACTGTGGTCCCCCCGATGTAGCAAGCGACTTGCTCGACTGCACTGGCCCAAGTCGGTCTTTTTAACTGTGGCACCTATAAGTGAACTTGCCAGGAGCGGATTACCTGACACTTTGATCCCTTTGAATTTATGGGAAACCTTTAAAGCCTCCAAACTTGAGAAAGACCTGACTGTGACGATGGTCAACGGCAGCAAAAAAACATAATAGCGATAAAGTGGAAGGACAAAAACCCTCCCAGCGATCCATCTTTGGTATACAAAACCGTGGGATTGTTTTATCATGGAAAAAATTTCAGATGCCATTCAATGTTTAGAGTTTGTGAGTCATATGTAATTAATAAGTGGGCTCCATTTCCAAAATGGAAATTCAAACACGAAAGTCCTTTTGGTTCTGAATGCCTTAGCTAATTTTAGCTTTGTAATGACAATTGATTGATTATCATAATAATAATAATACCTTTCAATTTATTGATTGCTCAATCCTGCAGAGCTGCTGGCTCTGAGCGATTTACAGTTATACAAGTTTTCACAAGGGACTAACAATGATTCATAGGGGGTAAGGGAGGACAACGTATAATTCTTAAAATCACACACGTTTGCAGCTGACGGGGATTTTGTACAGCTGTAGGCTTCAGACGTGTTCCGGACAGCATTCACTTTGGCTTGGCTTAATCAGTTGATTTGTGTTACTTTATCAGGGGTCATTTCGTAGAAAAAGAGCTAGGGGGGACTCATTAGCATAACCCATTAGCATATGCCACACCCCCTGACATCACCGGAAGTGTGTCCTCCCTACAGCCGGCGGCTACCTCCAGCGGGCACCAGCAGGGAGCTCCAGGCCCCGCCCTCCCACACCTCACCCGGGGGGATGGCGTCCCCCCCCCCCAAATGACCTCTGGATGCAGTCCTGTTGAAAGTTGATGGATATTGTACCCTTATTGTTTCTCAATAAAATTATATCTTAAAAAAAAAAAAAAACTGACACTTTAATAGTGCTTGTCTTGGATTTTTCCCACTGAACACTTTTCGTATATAACACAATATCTCTTGTGTGTTTCTTCAGCCCAAGATCTTGTCCGGACGACTGTCGGGCAAACCCGGCTGCTGATAGCAGAGAGATTCAAGCAGTTTGAAGGGCTGGTAGATAACTGCGAGTTCAGACGTGGGGAAAAGGAGACTACGTGTTCGGACCTGGACGGGTTCTGGGACATGGTCGCCTTCCAGGTAACCGTTTCGAGCATTCGTCTCTGGCATTCGGTCCAGGCTGTCCTTCCCATCTGTTTCTTATCGCCAGGGTCGCGCAAAATAGATGTAAGCAGGGCTATTTGGGGGCAGGAACGCACAGGAACAGAGTTCCGGCTGGCTCCCAAATTGGCCACGTCCGGCAGGAACTTATTAGCATAATAGGCCACACCCAACAGCAGAAACTCATTAGGATTGGCTACATTAGGGGTGTGTGGCCTAACATGCTAAGGAGTCCCTGCTACAAAAAAAGGCCCTGGGTTTTGACAACAAACAAGGTAAACAGAATAAGAAGCAAAAGGTGGGTGTGGCTGGATGACCACACTTCTGGAGACATGGGGGTGCGGCCTAATGTGCTAATGAGCTGTGCTGTCGGGTGTGGCCCAATATGCTAATGAATCCCTGCTGTTGGGTGCGGCCTATTATGCTAATGAGTTCCTGCTGGGCTTTTTCTACAAATAGAGCCCTGGATGTAAGCATCACTGTGCACCAGGATAACAGTAATGCTTCCACCTGCATTCGTGTCTTCGTTAGCCTAGCCGTGCAATTACGTTCTTATTATGGGGCTGCCCTAGATGGCTGCCCTAGTTTGCCGACATTCTGATCTAACTGCCTTGGCAAAGCTGGATCCTGTGGATGTGATTTAGCGGATGCACATTCCCCAGGCAGAAGGACCTATCGCCTGATCCCAAGAGGAGCAGGTCACCGGACAGGTGGCCGATGCCTTTTCTACATATGTAAATCAAGGGGAGTCTCCTTCCACCTTAGGAAATGCAGATCAGCCAGTGGAATGGATCCACGTGGTCCAAATTCATCTCCCAAGATTCGGAGAGTTCTAGGGACGAGGGTGATCGGGGGCCTGGAGACCAAGTCCTATGAGGAAAGTCCGAGGGACTTGGGAACGTTCAGTCTGGAGAAGAGGAGGTCAAGGGGGGCACGATTGCTCTCTTTGAAGGGCTATCCCTTAGAGGAGGGCAGGGAGCGGTTCCTGTGGGCTGCAGAGGAGAGGACTCGTAATGATGGATTTAAATTCAAGGAGGGAAGGTAGCGGATGGATCTGCCAGTTTGGTGTAGTGGATAAGTGCGCGGACTCTAATCTGGGAGAACCGGGTTTGATTCCCCACTCCTCCACTTGCACCTGGCTGGATGACCTTGGGCAAGCCATCGTTCTGGTCAGAGCTGTCCTTGAAAAACAGCTGTTTCTGTCAAGAGCTCGCTCAGCCCTACCCACCTCACAGGGTGTCTGTTGCGGGGAGGGGAAGGAGTTTGTAAGCCGCTCTGAGACTCCCTTGTGTAGTGAAGGGCAGGGTATAAATCCAATCTCTTCTTCTTTGACCTCACAGGGTGCCTGTTGTGGGGAGGGGGAGGGAAAGGAGTCTGTAAGGCGCTCTGAAACTCCCTTGTGTAGTGAAAGGCAGGGTATAAATCCAATCTCTTCTTCTTCTCTCTTAAGAAAAACGTTTTGACAGTAGTTGTTGTGCCACAGTGGGATCGGCTGCTTGGGGAGGTGGTGAGCTCCCCCTCCCTGGCAGTCTTCAAGCAGCGGCTGGACAAACACTGGTCAGTAACTGTGAGGGGAGCAGAGCATCAGAGCCATGGAAGATGCTTTCCCCAGTCGTGACGTGAGCGGAGATACTCTCCAGCAGAATGTTCCCTCTAAGCTGTGGAGTCCTGTGAGCAGAAATTCTACTTTGTGAGTTACGGGCATTAAAGGTGTGAGCGAGCAGTTTGGCTACTGCATAAATTAGTTTGCTCTGGAGCCCCTCCTTCCCGAGCGAAGACAAAAAACGTGTGAGCCGGAGGCTAAAAAACTGTGAGCTAGCTCACACTAACTCAGCTTAGAGGGAACACTGCTCTCCAGCCCTGTCTTCACTCAGAAGCCCCGACCCGGATGGCCCAGGCTAGCCCGATCTCGTTAGATCTCGGAAGCGAAGCAGAGTCAGCCCGCGTCGGTATTTGAATGGGAGACGAATCTGGACCGTGCAGATCCAATCTTGGATCGTCACCAAGGAAGCCCAGGGCTGCTACGCAGAGGCAGGCAAGAGGGACACCACCTCTGTTTGCCTGCCCTGCCCCGGATGGCCCAGGCTAGGACCGTCTCGTCCGATCTGGGAAGCTAAGCAGGGTCGGCCCCGGTTAGGACTTGGGTGGGAGACCACCGAGGAAGAACCAGGGCTGCTGTGCAGAGAGGCAGGCAATGGGCGGAACTGCCTCCGGACATGTCTTGCCTTGGAAACCCCACCAGGGGTCGCCGTACGTCAGCCGCGACCGGAGGACAGCCACCAATGTTCCCTCTAAGACGTGGAGTCTTGTGAGCAAAAATTCTACTCTGTGAGCTACGGGCATTAAAGCTGTGAGCGAGCGATTCGGCTACGGCATCACTTAGTTTGCTCCGGAGCCCTCCTCCCCGAGCTTAGACAAAAACGTGCGAGCTGGCGGCTAGAAAACTGTGAGCTGGCTCACACTAACTCAGCTTAGAGGGAACACTGACAGCCACCACAGGTTTACTAAGTGGTTTACTAACCACTTGGTTTTTTTGGAGGCTGTTTGTTTGGACAGCAGGACATGTGAAAGGGATCTGGATGTTCTGGTTGATCACAAGCTAAACATGAGCCTGCCGTGCGATGTGGCTGTGAAGAAAGCTAATGCAATCTTAGGATGCCTTAACAGAAGCATTGTGTCCAGTTCACGGGAGGTGGTCGTTCCGCTCTGTTCTGCTGTGGTCAGACCCCACCTGGAGTCCTGTGTGAAGTTTTGGGCACCACATTATAGGAAGGATGTTGGCAAGCCCGAGCGTGTCCCGAAGAGGGCAACCAGGATGGTGAGAGGGTTATGAGGAAAGGCTGAAAGAGTTGGGTATGTTCAGCCTGGGAAAGAGAAGGCTTAGAGGGGACATGACTGCAGTCTTCAAGTATCTGAAGGGCTGCCATGTAGAAGATGGAGCGGATCTATTCTTTCTTGCTCCGGATTGCAAGAGTAGATCTAATGGGTGGAAATTACAAGGAAGTCGATATCGGCTAAGCATCGGGAGAAACTTCCTAAGTGTAAGAGTGGTTGAGCAGTGGAACAGTCTGCCTTGGGAGGTGGTGGAGGCTCCTTCGCTGGACGTTTCCAAGCGGAGGCTGGACGACCATCTTTCGGGCATGTTGTAGGGCTGTCTTTCGGCTATGCTCCTGCAGAGTGCGGGGGGTTGGACTAGATGACCTGCAAGATCCCTTCCAACTCTTAACATTCTGTGATCTTGCCCAGAATACATCCACGATAAAAAGAAACGTGGCATTGACGGACTCTGGCCTAATCCTGCAACCTTTTTCATCTTCCCCTCCCTCGATAGGTGGAAGATGTGAATAAAAAATTCGAGAGCCTGAGGAAGCTCCAGGAGAACGGGTGGCAAGCAGCTGAAGGCAACCAGGAGGCCAAGCAGGTCCCCAAGGTAAGAGCGGCTTCTAGAATTCTCCTTTCGGGCGGCCGCTTGGCCACAGGGCGAAGTCACTTGGGACCGGGACTGCGGGTGGAGTGGGGCTCGCGCTGGTCAGTTTCCCCCTCCCCCACCAATGTAGACTGCACTTTGCCCCCCATGCTGTTCCTGAGGGTCCCTTAGGGAGGAGGGGAGGGGTAAGGCAGTGCCCGGGAACTGAAGGGAGGGTTGTAGGGGGGGTGCAGAGTCACAGGAGAAAAATCCTCCGGCCTGCTTGACCACCCTTCGAGGACATACCAGGGCCCTGCGGGATCTGGTACAATTCCACCGTGCCCGCAAAACAGAGTTGTCCTTCTAGGCCTACGGTTGAGAGCCAATTTGGTGTGGTGGTTAAAAGCGGTGGACTCTAATCTGGAGAGCCAGGTTTGATTCCCCACTTCTCCACATGCAGCCAGCTGGGTGACCTTGGGTGAGTCAAACGTTCTCTCAGAGTTCTCTCAGCCCCACCTAACCTCGCTGGGTGTCTGTCGTGGGAAGAGGAAGGCAAAGGAGAGTGTAAGCTGCTCTGAGATTCCGAGTGAAAGGTGGGGTTATAAATCCAATCTCTTCTTCTTGAGGGCAGCACCAGACCTCCACCCGATAGGCTATAGTTAGATTTGCCTCCCTCCCGCTTCCCGCACTTCCCTCCCTTCTACCAGTTTGGAGTAGTGGTTACGTGCGCGGACTCTAATCTGGGAGAACCGGGTTTGATTCCCCACTCCTCCACTTGCAGCTGCTGATGTGACCTTGGGTCAGTCACAAGCTCTGGCACAGCTGTCCTTGAAAAAGAGCAGTTTGTGTCAGAGCTCTCTCAGCCCCACCCACCTCACAGGGTGCCTGTTGTGGGGAGGGGGAGGGAAAGGAGTTTGTAAGCCACTCTGAGACTCCCTTGGGTAGTGAAGGGCGGGGTATAAATCCAATCTCTTCTTCTTCTTCTTTTACCTCACAGGGTGAATGTTGTGGGGTGGGGAAGGGAAAGGAGATTGTCAGCCGCTCTGAGACTCCTTTGGGTAGTGAAGGGCGGGGTATAAATCCAGTCTCTTCTTCTTCTTCTTCTTCTACCTCCTAGGGTGTCTGTTGTGGGGAGGGGAAGGGAAAGGAGTTTGTAAGCCCCTCTGAGACTCCTTTGGGTAGTGAAGGGTGGGGTATAAATCCAATCTCCTCTTCTTCTTCTTTTACCTCACAGGGTGCCTGCTGTGGGGTGGGGAAGGGAAAGGAGTTTGTAAGCCGCTCTGAGACTCCTTTGGGTAGTGAAGGGCGGGGTATAAATCCAGTCTCTTCTTCTTCTTCTTTTACCTCACAGGGTATCGGTTGTGGGGAGGGGAAGGGAAAGGGGTTTGTAAGCAGCTCTGAGACTCCCTTGGGTAGTGAAGGGCGGGGTATAAATCCAATCTCTTCTTCTTCTTCTCTTCTATATATGTTTTATATCACTCCTCTGTGAATTTTTACACCATCTTCAATTTTATAGTAACTGTTTTTCCAATTTTTTGTATTTATTGTTGTTTTTTAGAAGGTTTTAAATTATATATTTATAAAGCTCTGAGCCAGTTCCAGGGAGAGACGGGTTATAAATCAAATAAAATTAAAATAAATAAATAAAAATAAGGCCTCGCCCACTTACAGGAAGTTGGGTAGTCTTTTTTAAAAGCCCAGCCTGCTCCTCTGTAGAGATGTAAAATTTCCGGAAAGTTTAAAAAAAAAAATATGAAAATTTTCAGAAAAATTGGAAAAAATGCTACATTAGCACTTCTTTTTTCTTTTCCAGATTGAAAGTCATTCTGTTACTTTAGGAACATAAAATATAACTGTGGACATTTTTACTTGGCATGAAATGATCACAACTAGCATATTAAAAATATAGTGTATCCAGACAATTATTACAAAAAGAATACCCGCCCACATGCAAAAACAAAACTGAAACCTTTTTCTTTTTTTGTGACAACAGCACCTCCTAAAGGAAGAAATACATCTTGTTCTTGCATTGGAGAGTTCAGTTTGTAACCTAGGACTTGCTTGTCCTCACTGCACAGAAATTAGATCAATCTGGTACCATACATATTTTTTAGAAATTATTTGGAAAATATTTGAACACCTTGTCTTAAAATATTTTATTCATCATGTTAAAATAAAACATTCCAGAATCATTTTTTTATTTATTTTATTTTTTCAATTTTTCGTAAAAACTCAAAAAAGGCTTCAGGAAAAAACCGGTACCCGAGGGGGGGGGGGGTTGGGGGTGTTTTCCCCTCGATTTTTTCGGTTTTTTTCCCAGGCCTTCACATCTCTACTCCTCTGTCCGTGCAGTTCTGTTTTGTTCCGTGTGCCACTCAGCTCTCGGAGAAATATCCTGAGTCCGGCCCTCCTCTTGTCTTCCAGAAGAAGACTGCCTGTCCCAGGGCCACCAGAGTGACGGGCAGGTCTGTCGGAAGGACGGCTGCCCGGAAACGCCTCGCCGCGATCAAGGCGATGATGAAGAACAAGGCGAGGCAAGAGGGGGCGGCAGCCGAACCAGCAGGCCAGGAAACTCCACAGAAAGAAGAGGAGCCGGTCACCTTTGACGGAGGGTTCTTCCGGGTCGAATCTCCTGCCAGACTTCTCCTAGGTCAGTGCGGTTTCCTTTGCACGGGATCTGTAGGTGAGAGAAGCGGCTCTGTCTCAAAGACCTCCCCGGGATACACTAATTTTTTTTGGGGGGGAGGCCTTTGTGCCCCAAGTTCTGGAAAAAGCCCAGCCTCAACCAGTGGACACGTTGGCATTGTAGCAGACCTCACGTTGAGTTTTGCACTTCCTCCCACCTCATTCTGCAGATTTATTTCCCCCAAAAAAACTTTTAATAACTGATTCAACCATAACGTATCAATAACTGATTCAACCATAACATATCACCAGCAACATAACATAATTACATCTTATAGGCCTATACATACACACAGGGCATTTTTTGTAGGAAAAGCCCAGCAGGAACTCATTAGCATAATTGGCCACACCCAACAGCAGGACTTCATTAGCATATTAGGCCACACCCTGACAGCACCGCTCATTAGCATATTAGGCCGCACCCCCATGTTACCCGAAGTGTGGTTATCCAGCCACACCCACCTTTTTATTCTTATTCTGTTTACCTTGTTTGTTGTCAAAACCCAGGGCCTTTTTTGTAGCAGGAACTCCTTTGCATGTTAGGCCACACACCCCTAATGTAGCCAATCCTAATGAGTTTCTGCAGTTGGGTGTGGCCTATTATGCTAATGAGTCCCTGCTGGGCGTGACCAACTCGGGACCCAGCCGGAACTCCGTTCCTGTGCGTTCCTGCCCAAAAATAGCCCTGCATACACAGACTAAAACCTAGTTTTGCATTACATATCTCAGGAACAGACCAAAAACAAGATAAACTCCAGATATTTTGGAGATATTTTACATTCCACAGAGGGATTGTTATTTACACAATCTATAAAAGGATACCACTTTCCCACAAAATTATTTTTATAACCGGGGGTCTCCGTCAACAATATTTGTGTAACTATTTTATCCCGAATAACTGTATCCCGCGCTTTCTTGGAACCACACTTCAAGTGAGGGTATTTTCCTAGATTTCCATACTTGGTCCATCTTTATCCTCACAACAGCCCTGTGAGGAAGGTTAGGCTGAGAGAGTGTGACTGGCCCACGGTCATAGAATCACAGGTTTGGACGGGAGGCCCAGGGTCATCTAGTCCAACCCCCCCTGCACAATGCAGGGAATTCTCAAATGCCTCCCCCCACCCACAGCCCCAGCGACTCTCGCTGCATGTCCAGATGGTTGCCCCCCTCCCCTGGAAAAAGCACAACACCTCCAGGATCTCCAGCCAGACTGGCCTGGAGAATAATGGCTTCCTGACCCCAGAGTGGCGATTGCCATTTCCCTGGGTGTGTAAGAAAGGGCCATGAGAACTAAGCATTGAGGCAACCCTTCCTGCCCTCCCTTCTCGTGATCTGCCTCAGTTCACAGAATCTGCCTTGCTGTCAGATGGCCGTCTAGCCCTCTAGGTCATAAGAGAACATGAGAACATAAGAGACGCCAATGCTGGATCAGGCCAGTGGCCCATCCAATCCAACACTGTCACACAGTGGCCAAAAATACCAGGGGCCATCAGGAGGTCCACCAGTGGGGCCGGGACATTAGAAGCCCTCCCACTGTTAACCCCCCTAAGCACCAAGAAGACAGAGCATCACTTGCCCCAGAGCCCCTATCTATACCTTGTGGCTAATAGCCACTGATGGACCTCTGCTCCATATGCTTATCTAATTCCCTTTTGAAGCCGTCCATGCTTGTAGCACCCACCACTTCCTGTGGCAGTGAATTCCAAGTGTTAATCACTCTTTGGGTGAAGAATTTTTTTGTTTCTCCAAGCTAAAGAGCCCTAAGCGCTTTAACCTTTCCTCATAGGGAAAGTGTTCCAACCCTTTTATCATTCGAGTTGCCCTTTTCTGCACTTTTTCTAAAGCTATAATATCCTTTTCAAGGTGTGGTGACCAGAACTGCACACAGTATTCCAAATGAGGTCGCACCATTGATTTATATAGGGGCATTATGATATTGGCTGATCCATTATTGCAGTCATCCATGAGCTTACACGACACAAGTGTGGATTTTAACCTGGGTGTCCCAGATACTAGTCTGACACTCTTCTTCTTTCTTTTTCTTTTTGTTATAAACATTTTATGAAAGTCTTTGAAGAAAACAATACATATTTTTGTAGGTTAGAAAACAGAGAAACATGAACATCCAAAATATTTTCAATGTTAATACATAATAATAATGCCGATACAGTAACAAATATTATGTGTATAGTCTATAAACGTTGTCTTAGACTGTGAGATATTGTAACCATATACTATACGAGTGTCGCTTTGCATTAGGGTACACCTCCTTAACAATGCTTCAAGTCATAAAAATAAAAATAGAAAGGAAAAAAGAAAAAGAGGGGGGGGGATTATATTTCAAATCCACTTATGAAATTGAGACCAATCAGGTGATATAAACTGTTGTTGTGATAAATAATCCAGAACTGGGAACCATTTTCCAGTGAATGATCTATGTAGTGACGAGTGAGCATTTGAGTGTATTTGAACGGAGACAGAATCCATAAGGAAATGAGACCATAATCTCCTATACCATACCTCGATGTTTGGTGGCTTTGTGTCTTTCCAGTAAGATGCTATAGCAGTCTTGGCAGCATCCAGCATGACATCAGCAGTGGATTTGTGTGGACTCCCCTAGATCTTTAGGCCAAGAGTTTAAAACTAATATTTCCGGGTGAAAACGGTACATTGATTGAAGTAATTTTGTTAATTATTGATATCACCTCCATCCAAAAGTGTTTAATCTTTTCACATCTCCACCAACAATGAGCAAAATTTCCGACACTCTTAACCACTACGCCACATTGGCTCATTGTTTAGAATGGGTCGGGAGCAGTGTTCCCTCTAAGCTGAGTTAGTGTGAGGTAGCTCAGAGTTTTTTAGACCTCCAGCTCACACATTTTTGTCTCAGCTCAGGAAGGAGGGCTCCAGAGCAAACTAATTGATGCAGCAGCCAAATCGCTCGCTCCCAACTTTAATGCCAGTTGCTCACAAAGTAGAATTTTTGCTCACAAGAATCCACAGCTTAGAGGGAACATTTGGTTGGGAGGAGGCCTGTCAACGTTTTGTCTCCCAGATAAGTACCTACAGCCGACCTTCCATTTCCACTGGCTTTGAGGAGCTTCTTTGTTTTGCGACAGAGTTAGGAAGCATTCAGATTTCTCTTTGATGCAAATATCACACGGGCAGAATACAAAATGCCGACGTTCTCTCTTTTCTCCCCTCCCCCCCCCCATTCAAGGCCAAACTCCCAAATCGGCCACCAGGTCTTCCCGGCGGTCTTCCAGACGGGCTACGCCAAGATCCGCCAGCCGAGCCTTTCTTCGGAGCTGTGTGGACACTTCAGTCGCACGACTGGGCACGCCGGCAGCCTACAGAAGCCACCCTCCTTTGCCCAACCCGGATGCATTTGCAGGCCTTTCGCGAACGGATCTCAGTCACATTTTTGATCAAAGGTACGTGGCTGCCTAGAGATGTGAAGGCCCGGAAAAACCCTGGGAAAATTCAGGAAAAAACCGTCCATCCGTCCC